TTTACCTATCCCTCTATATTCAGACCTGTAAGTTTCTTGAGATGATACTGAATTTGTTTGGATTCAATAAAAATCTAAAAAAAGAATGAGATTGATGGAGATGCAGTGATATGGAAAAGTATCCAAGATATATTCTTTGTTAAACAAAAACAGTAAGTTGGGGGGGCGCAAGCATGCATTTATTCATATAAAATGTCTACACAGTACACAAACCACCAGAAGATACCTTCAGGAACAGGGAAAAGAGTTGAAAGTAAAAGAATTTGACTTTTCACTTTGCAACACTCTGTACCATAAGTTTCTAATATGGCATATATTACTTTTATAATTTAAAAATTCAACTGTGATTTTTTTTTTAAATCATCTTTTCAAATTTGCATTTTATTCTAGGAAAAAAAACCAAATGTCAATTTTAAATCTAAGTTAGGAAGGAGCTCTGATGGCACAGTGGTTAAGGCATTCAGCTGTTAACCAAGAGGTTGGTTGTTTGAACCAACTAGCTGCTCCCCAGGAGAAAGATGAGAGTCTACTTGCATAAAGATTTACAGCCTTGGAAACCCTATGGAGCAGTTGTAGGGTCACTATGAGTTGGAATCTACTTGATGGCAGTGGGTATACTTTTGGTTTCTAAGTTAAGTTCTGTAACCTCTGTGTCCACAAAAACAAAGTCATTTTAAAATACAGTATCTGCAGAGGATTGGTTCTAGGATCCTGGCAGATACTAAAGTAGCAGATACCAAAATTCTCAGATGATCAAGTCCCTTACATAAAATGGTGTAGTATCTACACAGAACCTTAGGCAAATCCTCCCGTATACTTTAAATCACCTCTAGATTACTTTTAAGGAGCTCTGGTGGTATAGGGGTTAAGGCATTTGGCTGCTAACCGAAAGGTTGGTGTTTCAAACCTACCAGCTGCTCCATGGAAGAAAGATGAGGCAATCTGCTTCTGGAAAGATTTACAACCTTGGAAACCCAACAGGGGTTGCTATGAGTCAGAATGGACTCACTGGTAGGAAGTTTTGGAGATTACTTATAATACCTAATACAACATAAATGTTTTGTAAATAGTACTTTCCACTCCTTAGCCTTTAAGGGTTGTTTTCACTTTAAGGAGCTCTGGTGGTATAGTGCCTAAGGCATCTGACTGCTAACCAGAGAGTTGGCAGTTCAAACCCACCAGCCACTCCACGGAAGGAAGACTGGGCAATCTACTTTAAAGATCTAAGACTAAGGTGCGCCTAACCCAAGCAATGTATTTTCAATCGCCTCTTATTCATGTGAGAGCTGGACAATGAATAAAGAAGACTGAAGAAGAGTTGATGCTTTTGAGTTGCGGTGTTGGAGAAGAATGTTAAGAGTACCAAGGACTGCTAAAGGACTAACAAATCTGTCCTGGAAGAAGTACAGCCAGAATGCTCCTTGGAAGCAAGAATGACCAGACTTTGTCTCATCTACTTTGGTCATGTTGTCAGAAGGAACCATTCCCTGGAGAAGGCTATCATGCTTGGTAAAGTAGAGGGTCAATGAAAAAGGGGAAGGCCCTCAACGAGATGGACTGACACAGTGGCTGCAACAAAGCTATAGCAGTGTCTCATTCTCCTGTGCGTAGGTTCTCTCTGAATCAGAGAGAAGTCAATGGCACCTAACAACTAACATCATCATCAATATCGTATGCAAGTAAAATTCTGCTGAAGAGAACTTAAAAAAAAAAAAAAAAAAAAAGCAGCAGCAGTATATTGACAAGGAACTGCCAGAAATTCAAGCCAGATTCAGTAGAGTATATGGAATGAGAAATAGCATCACTAGTTCAGAATGGATCATGGCTGAAAGCAAAAAAGGGTTTACTTGCATTTTATTGACTATGCAAAGTCATTCACCTGTGTGGATTATTAATAAATTACAGATAACATTTCAAAGAATGGTAATTTGATAACACTTGTGCTCATGTGGAACCTGTGCATAGACCAAGAGGCAATCATTTGAACAGAACAAAGGGATACTATATGGTTTAAAATCAGGAAAGGTACGTGTCAGGGGTATATCCTTTCACCATACTTATTCAGTCTGTATACTGAGCTCAAAGTCTGAGAAACTACTATATGAAGAATGCAGTATCAGGATTGGAGGAAGATTCCTTAACAACTTGAGATACACAGAAGACACAACTTTCCTTGCTGAAAGCCAAGAGGATTGGAAGCACTTTCTGATGAAGATCAAGCTACAGCCTTCAGTATGGATCACACCTGAACATAAAACAAAAATCCTTGCAAGTAGACCAATAAAGGAGCTCTGGTGGTGCTGTGGTTAAAGCATTGGGCTGCTAACCAAAAGGTCAGTAGTTTGAACCCATGAGATACTCCTCAGGAGAAAGATGAGGCAGTCTGCGGCCATAAAGATTTACAGCTTTGGAAATCCTATGGGGGCAGTTCTACTCTGTCCCATAAGGTCACTATGAATTCAATCGACTAGCTGTCACTGAACTTGGTTTGGTTTTTGGACCAATAAGCAACATCATGATAAATGGAGAAAAGATTGAAGTTGTCGAGGATTTCATTTTACTTAAATCTACAATCAATGCCCATGAAAGCAGCAGTCAAGAAATCAAATGACGTACTGCATTGGGCAAATCTGCTAAAGGATCTCTAATATGTTAAAAACTAAAGATGTCACTTTGAAGACTAAGGTGCACCTGACCTAAACCATGGCATTTTCTACCACTTCAATATGCATGCAAGAGCTGGACAAAGAATACGGAATATACCATGGACTGCCAGAAGAACAAACAAATCTGTCTTGGAAGAAGTACAGCCACAACACTCTTCAGAAGTGCAGATGGTGAGACTTCATCTCATGTGTGCTGGACATATTATCAAGAGGGATCAGTCTTTGGAGAAAGACATCATGCTTGGCAAAGGAAAGAGTCAGGAAAAAAGAAGATGACTCTGAATGAGATAGACTGGCACAACAGCTCCAACAATGGGCTCAAAAGAGGATGGCAGAGTACCAGGCAGTATTTCATTCTGTTGTACATAGGGTCACTACGAGTTTGAAATGACTCCAAATGCACCTAAAAACAAGAGGTATATGAAATGTCCAGATTAAGTAACCCATAGGTACAGAAAATAGTTTAGTGGTTGTCAGGGCCTGGGAGGAGGGAAAAATGGGAAGTGATTGTTAATGTGTACAGGGTTTCCTTTTGGGTGATGAAAATGTTCTGGAATTAAACAGTGATGATGGCTGCAGGACTCTGTAAATATACCAAAACCACTGACTTGTACACCTTCCAAAGGGTGCATTTTATGGTATATGAATTATATCTCATTAAAGCTATTATAAAAACTTTATTCACCTTGATTCACCAATTGTTAACATTTTCTTTTTCTCTCCTACACATACACAAGTTTTTGTTGGAGCAATTGAGACTTGGCCCAACACTTTAATCCTAAATACCTCAGCACGTGGAGCATTCTCCCACATAACCAAAATACAAATTGCGCACTCAAGACACTTAACACCAATACAAAATTATCTTACATATAATCCATATTATTTTTTATCAAGGAATATGGATTGTATTTAAGAAGGGACCATTCCCTGGAGAAGGATGTCATGCTTGGTAGGGTGGAGGGTCGACGAAAGAGGGGGAGGCCTTCAACAAGATGGATTGATACGGTGGCTGCGATGATGGGATCAAGTATAGCAGGGATTGTGGGGCTGGCGTGGGATCGGGCAGTGTTTCGCATGGGGTCGCTATGAGTCGGAAACGACTCGACGGCACTTAACAACAACAACATGGATTGTATTTGTTGTCATTTCTTTTAATCTAGAAAAGCCTCCCTCTTTTTTTCATAACACTGACATCCTTTAAGAGTTCAGGCCAATTATTATACAGAATGTCCCTCAATTAGGATATGCCTGATTGTTTCCTTATGAACTAATTCAGATTAAAATATTTGGCAGCAATACTGCGTAGGTGAGTTGTGTCCTTTTCAATGAATCATGCCAGAAAGTATATATCAGTTTGTCTCCTTACTGGTGATGGTACAGTGGTGTTCACTTTTGGGTTTCTGTTAATGTGTTGACTGTCAGATTCCTCCATTATAAAGGAAGCTTTTTGTGCTTCATCTGTGGGGTGACCATTGGAGTCTGTGTAAATATCCTATTTCCCCAACAGTCTTTCACTCAAAGGTTTTAGCATTCAGTCAATGCCTGATATTCCATCCCTTCTGAGATTGCCATGCATTCACCTGACCAACCATTGCTATAAATTTTTTCCAAGGAGTGTTAGTTAGCTGTGTTTTCAACCCTATCTGCACATCAGAATCACCAATCTCTTGGGGGTGTGACCCAGTTCATCATATTTAATAATTCCCTGACTTGATGTAGACGCAGGATTGAGATTTCCCCAGTCAGAGAAATTTGAGAAAATATTCATTTTGCAAATGAGGAAATTGAGGCCTGAGCAGGTTGAAGCAACCATAAAACTTGTTAATGGCACAGTTAATGTATTATTTTTGTTCAACTTTCATTTAAATATATTTATTCTGTAGGTTAAAGAATAAAACCATAAAACTGAGTAACTTGCGTGTAGTGTTAGGACTGACCACGACCTGATATGCATATTTCTGCTTTTAAGATTATTTTTGCCGTTCGTACATTACCCTTTTGCATTTTAGGAGAAAGGGAAAGAGGCATTTGTTCATCGAGCTGCTCCACCCTCAAGGATCCCTGGAAAACTGCAGCCTGTGACCCAAGTCGGTAAAACGTCCAAGGGATCAAACAGTTCGGGCTGCAGCCCCGGCGCCAGCCCTCCCGCCCTTGCACGCCCCACAGACTTGGTGGCGCCACTGCCGGGGGCCCTTGCAGGGCAGCTTACCCCGACTGGGACGCACCTGGCGGGGCGCACCTGCAGGCGCGCGCCAACCCCGCCTCAGGACGCTCAGAAGCGCGCACGGGGTTGAAGACGACGCAACCTGCAGGCCCGCCCACCGTACTTACCCCGGCGTGATAAACCTTGTTCGCTCTTTTAATCTTGATGTCCAGGGAGGTCCCCATCTCTGATTCTCCGCAGTGGGCGCCACTTCCTGTGGCACGTGATCTGTGGGGAACTAGGGCTGCCCCACCCTCCTCCAGCACCACCCCTCCCTTTTCCACCTCTCTCCACCGGCAGCTTTTTTTTTCTTTCCCGCCCCCGCCCCGTTTCCACCGGCAGCTACGTCATGTGACCTCGCGCGGTACGCCGGATTGACTCTCCCATCCTGAGACCAGTGCGCCCCACGCCTTCCTCCTTCCGGCGCAGGGGTGGGCCTTAGCGCAGACAGAGGGGCTGTCACTCTTCGCCCCGTCCCATTGGGCTGTGGGAGGACCCAAACTAGCTCCACCCCTTTCGTAAGGCCAATGTAACGCCGGAAATACACTCCTCCTCCCTCGTATAGAGAAGGGAAGGGGAAGTTCTCGGTTCTCCCGTCCTGCTCCGCGGCAGGGGCGGTACCGAAGCCATTTCTCGGAGGTTGCCAGCGCAGGAAAACTGAAGCGTCCCGTGAGGCTGTGCGGTGCAGTGAAGAGGTGCACTATGGAGTTGCCTTTAAGGTGGTTACGATGTTGAGCCTTGAGTCCTAGACTGGGGAAGTGCGAGAAGAGTGTCCCCTAAATACGTCCCCTGAGTCACCTTCCTCTCGAATCATTCCCCACTCTGCCTGGGGTTCTGAGATGCTGTGTTGTGCCCAGGTTATGAAGGAGTTCGGGGCGAGGAATTGCCAACACACGATAATGCAAAGAGCAATAGGAAAGTTTATTAGCTAACTTAAGTTAGGGTCCTTGCTTTCACCCTCGCAATGGGTTGAGCAAAAGACCCCGTGCTCTTACATTAATGATCTTTATAGAGAAACATAGGGTGGAGTAGATAATTTGGTTTTTATGATAGGGGTTTGGGAATTTGGGGCAGGTTGGAATTCCCCCGGTTTCAAAGGTGAGTGAGAGATTTATTGGGGCCAGGCGGATCTCTTTGATATGTGCGTACTCTCTGCGAAACCTGGGGGGGAGGGTGAAAGCCCTCTTTAGTCTTCAAAGGTGGGAGAGAGGCTTTTTGGAGCCATGCAGATTTCTGATAAAAGGCTTTGAGTTTGAGGTATGGGACATTTACTACAGGCATTAGGGCTCAGCATGGGACGTGTCAATCTCCATACTAAAGGTTTCTGGTTAAAAGATCTTTCAGGCTCTACAGCTGGTGTTCCCTTTGTCGGTCCTGGCCTCAGCGCCACTCCATGCCCTTCCCTAGGGAGCTGTTCGGTCACCAGCACATCGCGGACCACATGCTTCCGTCCCGCACTGTGCTAACTGGCGGAGACTCAGCTGTCCCGCCTTCTGCCCGCGGGCCTGGGACCAAGGTCTTGGGAAGTGCCCGGCGGGCGACCTCGCTCTGTTCCAAGATGCAGCGCTGGGTCACCGTTAGCACGATTTCGCTGAGCCGCGGGGGGTTGTGGGTATACCCCAGGCGCGAGGCCTGGAAGCGGGTGTTAAATATTCATGTCCCTGCACCCGGCGCGGGAAAACCGGCACGCTCATCTCTGGGCCCTGTGCCTGTTGACTAGTTGGAAAAGATAACCTCAAAGCCGAAAAGGACTTCTCTCATTTTCCCTTTTATTCCCCGCAAAAGCTGAATAAGTAGACACAAGACATACATTGGCTTTTTTGGAGTACTGCCTCCAACCAGGGCTGGCAATGTAGTATAAAGCAACATAGTACATTTATTGAAATGAAACTCTTTGTAAATGTTTTTAAGCAAGGACTTTTCCGATAAGCGGAAAGGTAAGATGATTTTGGTAACTGATTAAATAAATGATCTAGTGAAGATATGCTTTTGTTTTCTTTAGTCTTTCATTATACTTGTTTTTTCAGTGAATTATAGGATTATGGCAGAAACGATTTTATGAATAAGTATCACGAAAGCCTCCATTTTGAGGATGTAAGGTTTTTGTTTTTTGGTAGGACAACAGTGATGGTGCTGTAGCTTCGATTACTTATGAAGGTTGATAAATACCGTATTTCTCCAATATTCAGGTCGCAATTTGCAGCTACCTTCTGCCTTCAGGGCTTCCATCTCGGTCTCGGATATCTTCTGGCAACTCAAACTAAGCAATTCAGAAACAATTCGTTAGGGACTTAATCATCACAGTCTGTTCTATTTTGCAATTCAAGAAGTGGATCCCTCTCCACTAGACTCACCCATCATTTGTAACTGGTGGAAAAAAAAAAAAAAAATCAGTCTCCTACGCAGTGCAGGGAAACAGGAAAAGAAACGCCTTACACGTAGCCACGTTCTGGACTTGTTTGATTATCTATCCTGCTTTATATTTGTTTTCCAACAGAACATCCTTGTTGCTAGAGGGCAGGTGTGCCATATTTTACACATATTTATAGGTTCACTCAGTCTTTAGAGAATGTTGGTGCAATGTAAAGAGGTTTGGTTCCAACAACTGTCAATATAATCAGGTTATTGAGCCCTCTTAATGGGATGGCTCCCAAACAAAAACAGTTCCATCTGTCTCTGCTCGCTTTTTTTTTTTTTGCATCTTTTCCATCCCTTAACCACTCTAGGTGATGCCATAACTTTTTCTAGTCAGTGTCCAAATGTCAGTCTTGTGGCTTCAGTGGGACCTGAGATTTCTTGATGGTAGGTGGTAGAGTCTTGGTGGCAAGTTGTGGTTCTGGCTCTCAAGACATTTCAACTCCTCTTTCAAGGCCTGGTTTCTCCTGTGTGTTGAGACAAGGAAGGTCAGGAATGAGGAAAAAATACCCCTTAACTGGTAACTGTTGGAGTTCTCTCTTCTTTGATCTCTGCTTCTCTGGGGGATAGCTGACCCTTGTTTGAAACTCTTCATAGGCCACATAAAGTTCATGGAAGCTCTATCTCGAATTTGATGTTTTCCCTTGCGCCAGTGCCAGCACCCAGCAATGCACCTAGCCCCTTAAATGAGGTTCTAGCAAGGTGGATCAAGCCACTTATCTTCCACAGCATCTACTTGATCGGTGAAAAAAACGCATTCTTGCCCCACAGAAGGACTGGACTCGAGGCTGCCCTATGGCCACTCCATCTCTCCATCCTGCCATCACCCTTCAATTTTCTTATTCCCTCCTTAAATACAGACATGGATAAATGAGCAAGAATACTAACTAAACATTTGCTAGCAGAGAATGAAACACCAACCTCCCCTTATAGTTGTAAGCTGCCCTGGAGTTACAGCTCTGACTCATAGCAACCTTATGTATCACAGGGTGAAATGTTGCCCAGTCCTGTGCCACCTTCATGATCATTGGTATGTTTGAGTCCATTGTTATGGCTATTGTGTCAGTCCATCTCATGGAGGGTTTCCCTCACTTTCAGTGACCTTCCTCTTTATCAACCATGATGTCCTTTCTTTTAGTGATTGGTCTTTACTGATGATATATCCATAGTAAGTGAGCAGAATTCTTGTCATCCTCTCTTCAAGGAGTGTTTTGGTTGTATTACTTATAAGACTGATTTGTTCATTCTTTT